GTTATAGATAGTGCCATTTCTTTTATACTTAGGGGAGTAAAGAACAGGAAAATATAACAAACATCTCTACATCAGGCACTGAGCCAGAGCAGAACCCGAATCAAAGCTCAGGACAACTCTGTGACCTGGCTGCTGTGGTATGCAGTAGTTCTAAGGTGGTCCCACGGGGGCATCCTTTCTCCCGGCCCGGGTTGCCACAAACACCAAGAGCTCTCTTGGTACACAAGGCAAAAGCTCTTGTGCATCACTCAGAGCCCTGCATCTCACCACAGACATTTGGTGCAATCGAAGGCAGAAGTAAACACCTCACTAAAAATAAACTCGGCATAAAGGTCTGAGAAGGAAATGCCTTTTTGAACAGCAGAGACACCAGCACAGCACTGAGATGTTTGCAAGGGGGGAAGGAAGGGATAATGGCATTACAGCCATGACACATCACTGCAGTTCATGGCAAATATTTCCTCTAGTGAAATGTAGCACATTATAAACCACCCGTGACCACTCAGCTGGTTGGAACATTTGGCTGCTTAAATATTCTAACTGTGCTGGAGAAAACAGCTGAACTAGCAGCTCAGGGCCAGGAATTACCCCCAGGTCAAACTCATTTACATAAATGACATTTTCCTACACTTCTGGAAATAAATGGTCCTGAAAACTCACAGATGCTTAGTAGTGTGCTAATAACTGCATCCAGCATATGAATTCCTGCATTTATTGGGGTCTGAGGTCTCAAGAGGACAGCAAGCTCTCCCAGAGCAAGACACATTTTCACTGCATTTCAGCTCGATCCACCCATGCCCTGACCCAAAAGTATTGTACATCCAAAACAGGTATCCTCCCCCAGCAGCCAGGACAGCAGGCATGACTATCCATGAGCTTCCCTCAAGGGCAACAGCAACGTGCTCCACCAAGTGTCCAACCTGGTGCTTTCAATGACCTGGGCTCTGCTGGAGCTCCTCCCCAGCAGGCTCACGTGTGGTGCTTCCTGCAGACCACGGATCAGCAGCACACAGGCAGTGGCAGAGGGAGCAGAATGGTAACTCAGATGTATCCCAAACTCAGAATTCCAATTATAATCTCAGATTATGACCTTGTCCTCAATGGACACCCATTACTCCCACAAGCAAAACACCTCCCAGTGTCAATGACACCAGAGAAAGCAGTATAATGTGGCTTGTTCAATTTTACCATTCTTTTTTTGTAGTCCCTAATATTTCACACAAAGCTCTGTCTGTGTATATCTTTACATTATAATACAAGGATGAACTTCAAGGAACACAAATTCATGGTGCATATTCCACATGCCATCCCTGCAGCTCTCAGATAGCAGTCCCAGGATAATTTTCCTTTTTATTTTAAGGCTCAAGTGACATTCCTTTTTTATTGTTTACTGAAATACAATGAATAGGATAACCTTCTATGTATGAATAAAAATTACTAGTGATATAGGGCAGGAAATACATACAGGTATGAACCATGGATTTATTTGTAAAAAAGATCTTCAGAAACACCAGCAGTCATTTTGCACATCTGATCATTCATTTTGTGCCTAGTGACAAGAGGTACCCCCCTGCATCTCTTACCCTAGATCTTCAACTTGCTTGTATACTTTGTTTTTCCAAGATTAACACATTTAGACAGGTATTTTTTAAATCTGACAAGATGGAAATCTGTGCAAGATTTCCATATTGTCACAAACGTAATACAGACCTGTAGATCTCTGCTCTGAAAGTAGGTCTTCTTTTCACTCGTGTATCCAGAACTACAGACCAAACCAGCACAGCTGAGGTATACTGTAGAGATTTTGTTTAGCAGAATAGCCAAGCAGACTCAAGTTCAGTTCACATACAACCATTTTTAATTTAGCTTATAAAATCTCTGTGACTGGACAGAATACTCTGCAAAATTAAGCACTGGATCCACAACACAAAAACCAAGGTTACTCATGTCATCATTTGTTTTTCAGACACGTATTTTATCATATGGCATGCTATTGATTTATGCCTACTTTAAAAAAACCAAAACACAGGTTTGTGAAGCCCTGAGTATTACTTAAAGATGCTGTAACTTCACGATCTCATGGATGAACAGGAGATCCTTAGAAACCAGGTCTCTACTGTGATGAAAACCAGCTCTGGCAGAGCAAAAACAACACACTCACAAATATCCTTAAATAGCCATCAAGCACAGAAACCTTGCTGCTTGCAAATGGCATTATTTCCATATTTGCACTATAATCCCACTGTCGGTACAATGTTTAGCCTTTATGCTACACTGTTTCAAACAGTGGTTAAAAATAAAATAGATAACATCAAAAATACAATAAATCTGCATTTTTTGGACATCTCCATTTGTGTCATTTACAGTATAGGAGGTCTTAAACAGGAAAAGACCCCAAACAGATCACTTTCACAGTAAGAAGAGGGGATCCTTACAGTTTTGTGCATTCTGTGACACAATAACAAGCACAACTCATATCCACAGCTTTGCATTGGTACCTATCACAAAACATACCCTTATCATCCATATCTGAAAAAAATTAAGAGGGAGTGCAAACCTTTCACAGAAGCCTTGAGACAGCCATTGATCACTCATCCTCTTTTGTCCCCTAAGGGGATAAAGGCAAAGAAGGGAGGTTGTTCTTTCAGTGAACACAAGCTGTAATTTACATCCCACGTCCAGAGCTTGCTAAGCAGGTCTGGACAGGGCCTGGTTTTTCCCGCTGAAGATCAGAAGTGAGCCAAGTTTTTATTGTACACATGGGAAGACTCCTAGCCATAGAGAAAAACAGAACCTGGAACAGTCAATTATCTGAAAATGTAGATACTTGCCTGAAATCATGGAACAGCCATGTTCCACCCAGATGTGCATTAGAATTCACACCTCCAGGGGCTGCTCTGTGTGCTCTCCCACCAGCTGAAGCACTGCTGATCCACCATGGTCTTTCCCATCTGCTTTGAATAATTAAACCTATACCAAAGCAAGGACCTCAATCGTACATCAGAGCCACACAAGCAATCAGCTGGCTTCCTGCTACTTTTGTCCCAGTTCCTTGCTTTTTGGAAGAACAGTGTCACCATGAGATACAACTGAGAGGAGCTGACAGTAGAAAAGCCAGTTGTGTGCTGATCTGTGTAGGTACACGCTTTGCCTAACCAGAGACTTGAAAACTGCTCATCTATGTTCCAGGTGAGCTTGACAAATATCAGAGAACTTATTTTCTGGGCACTAGGATTTAAAATCTTCATCAAGCTAAAGAAGAATTGACAGATGCCCACTTCTGCACTGCTAGTGAGTGTTCTTGGAGAATGAAGGCAATTTTCGTCTATTATTGAAGTTTTGCAAAATATTCCTCTAAAACACGAAGGATATTTAAGCTATATTCTCTACTGCAGAAAAAGCAGTATAAGAGGCTTATTGCAGAGGAGAACAAAGATGCATGATGCTCAAAAATCAATTTTATAAAAAAAAATCTCCTATCAAAGGATGGCAACTACCTTACATACCCTAAGATAACAATTAAGCACTCAGTGAAAACTTAGCTACATTAGTCAGTCAGAACCAAGCAATATATAGAATATTCTGAGCTAGAACAGACCCACAAAGATCAATGAGTCCAACACCTGATTTCACACAGGGCTACCTAAAAACACGTATCTCAGAGTGTATGTAGGCCATTTAGCCATGTGGCTTCTTGCTTGGCATCAATCCTGGGCAGCAAGGAAAAGTTCTTGTGGAAAATATAATTATTTCTGAGGCATATATGATTGAAGATCATACAGTTGTTACATAGGTTTAAAACTGCTTCTAGCACATTCTTTTGTTTGAGGGCTTACTTAAAAATAACAAGTCAAACTACAGATATACCACAAAAAATCACTCCTGATTGTGGTTCACTGCTCACCTCGACCCTGCATTCCAATGATTATACCTCTACCTTTTGGTAAGCACTAAAATTACAAGGACTTAAGCAGCTCAGGAGAAATTAAATGTGTTCAGCTCACCAAATCTCTGGTAAAGATATTTGCATTTCTTATTTCATCCAATAGAAGAAAATGGAAAGATATTTTACACTAATAGTCCCTAATATGTTTCTGCTTCTTCCAAGAGCTCTCGCTCAGGATTTGACTCCAGGGCAGATAGGCTGACGCAAAAGTCCACGCTTTCATTTGTCCCACCTTTTTAATGAGGATAAAAGTGATTCAGCTTCAACATATATGGTGACAAACCTCTAAGCAAGTTTTAAATGGAACTAGGCAAGACAGCATGGTCAATAAAGAACAGTGCAAATTTTGTTTGAAATCTTATTTCCTTTAAAATACAGAAAAACAAGGAAGCTGAATACCACACAGTCAATGTTTAAAATGTAAATTCTATAATTCTTCTAAAACTGTATACAGGCTTTCTCTAAACTCACACAATCAATGATGCTCAGTACACTTCTGAAGAGGAAATCAGGCCACAGAAAAGAACAATCATGATGACTCTATGAGGCAACTCTCTGTCACTGCATTACTGCTGATATTCACTAACTGCTGATACCCTCATGTCTGAATTAATGCACAATGGCAAGTGTGAATCCTAAACTGAGAATTTAGCATGCTGTACACACCAGTGCATTGCAGCCTATGTAATTTATTTTACCTATTAGCTCAAAGTTTCCTTTAAAACGGTCTGAGAGCACTCCAGAAAGTCAATTGTGCAATAAAAAAATAAAATTCCTGAAACTTTACATATTGAAAACCAAAGGTAAACCTGAAAATTTCAGTAAAGTCAGTGATGCCCTGACAAATCAATTTCTAGGGCATATATGTAGCAAAGCCATTTTACTTTGCTCAAGATCACTCAGGATGCCTACAGCAAAGCAGGAAACAGGAAGATTGCCTTACTATCAATCCAAAACTTCAGTCAGAAAAACATTACTCCAGTTCCCTGGCATTATTGCTGACATTTTGCACTGTTGAATTGGAAAAACAAAGTCTCACAAACAAATCATATTAGCATACAATGTTTATTATCATCTATTAATCTGAAGTCAATCATTTTGATATGACTAAATTAATTCTGAAATAAACAGACATTTTTAAATACACATGAAGATGATGGGCTTTAACATGAGAGTACTTAGTTGATCTGCACTCTTAATCCACATGCAGGATACATAGATCAAATTATTGTACATATCTTTTCACTTGACACTGAACTATAATACAGCACAATTTCTGGAGGTGAAAGCAGGGAGGAAAGAAATAATATTTCCAAGTAGCTCTTTTATTTAAAAAGAGTATCAATGATACATTAAGCCATTGTGTTTCTCTCTGATTTTGATTTTACTTATAGTATACACTTTTGTAAAACATACAGCTCATCAATGATACACAGTGGCCCTTAACTAAGGGCAAGTAACCAAAAAAAAACAAGAAAAAAGAAATATGACAGAAAAGAATTCTACAGATTAGAAAAGTCATATTTTAGAACATCGTCACTTCACAGTGCCCCCAATGTTGCCAAGAAAGGTCATGCACAACATTTCTAATGTTGTCATTAGTCCATGAGAGAAATGTCTGCGTGCTTCACGTGAACAGAGAAAGGTACAAGTCAGAAAGAAAGCAGCTTTCTCCAGTTATCTCTTAGGCCTGTCTGTGTCATCAATGGTAGCTAACAGCTTCTGTCTTGCCTTTTTGTTGATGTAGGTGCCCAGACAAATATTCACCAGATTGGTCAGCTGCTTAGTGGAATATTCCTGGCAAATAAAAACAGATCATGTTAAGGCAGAATAAAACACCAGACAAAGACAGAAAATTTTAAAACACACAGACATACTCAGTGTGGATTTCACAATTGATAGAAGCATCAGTACACAGGGGAGATTTAAAGCTATAGTTCAGTCATGTCTGGATAGTTTTCACCGTTGAGGCAGAGGACAAAACTGTATTTTGCTACATGGTGGCTTATAATGGAAAATGCTTATGACTTTAAAAGTACTGGAAAGAGTTCACATAAAGTAACTCTGTGAACATATATATAAATCAATTTTTAATGTATTTTCCATTCTTTGCGAGGCTTGGTGGGAAAACATATGCAAATGATTAAGCTTTCAACACAAAAACTTTTTTTGTTCACAAACTGTGATAAATGATGGTGATCTTTTTTATTTTGACTTCCCATTTCCAATAAGCTTCTAAATGCTTCTGTCTGCAGAGCCTCCAAATGATTTTGATTTCAGTATATGACAAAGGAGGAAAAAATGTCAAAAATGTGAAGAAAACAATTCTTAACACCTGTGGAAATACCATATTTTCCAGTATTACCTTTATGTCTTAACACTATCCAAAACATAGCTTCCACCAATGTGTTTTAATAAAGGTTTTCCCTGTAGGTCATCAAACCCTGTAGCTCACAATCTCTCTCGGGGTTCCAGGCAATACAAGGAAAATTCAATCAAAGACATATTTCTTTCCTCCATTTCTAGTGGGATTTAATCCCAAAATACAGATTTCAAGTGCTTCACTTTAAAATACTTTTTACTTCAAAGATGGGTGTCAAAATTAACAATACTTACACAGAACTGTTATAACTGTTAGTTCATGGTAGAGTGAAAGCATCTGAATGTTTTCAAAACACAAATATAGACTTATCTCAGCAAGAAATGATGATTAAGCATTATCAAATGAAGAAAGAAAAAGCAATGACTCTTCTCCATTGTGCCTTACAACTTAGTTTAAGCAATCTACTCCCAAAGGCAATACAAAACCAAATGGTGTTATCCCAAAACGTAATTCTTGATGATCAAGTTGTGCACTGTGGCGAATTCTGAAGAGCTCACAAATGTTTTCAATTTCTCTTTTCTCTAGTTATCTACACTTTTTGATACAACAGGCAGATGTGACTGGCTTAGTCATCCTCCCCAGTCATCACACGATGAACCAGGTCAAACACATCCTAATTTCATTTGATAAAAATGAACACATACATACACACATACCTTTATATTTATACTGCTTCCATTACAAAAAATAGTATTATAATAATATTTATTATAATGAAACTTGCTGTAAGTTTCATTATAATAAAAGAAAATATAGTTATATATGCCTATATTCATTTTTAACACATAGAAGGATTGATTATTTATAGTTGTTAGCATGTTTTTATCATCAGAGTGAATTTTCTCAATAGAGAGGAAAAGAATGCAATTTTAACTCTTACCCTATGTTCTTTTATCCAGGATTCCATGTCATTTTCTGTCAGGTAGTATGCTTTAATGTAGGTCTCCACAAATTCTTTATCTGGAATAGGCCTAATGTCTGTTAACTTTTCTAGTTTCATTAAGAACTGTTGAAAATCCAGTTGCATCAAGGCACGTCCTTCATTGCTGCACTTCTTTACATTGGCATAACTAAAAAGAGAAACAGTGCAAAGCAGAACTTAGAGAGAAATAAAAATTAATTTTGCTTCTCAAAGTTAACTTAGTATTTTGAACCTTGAGGAGGAGCAAAATTATGGTTTTAAGTCAAAAGCAGACAAGAACTTCTCTTAGGAGCAGACAAGAACTTCTCTTAGGATTTCTGCTGCAGAGCTTTATTTGCATTAGCACAACACATTTTAGCTCAGTTATCAAACAGAATCCCACTGCACCCAGTGATGTTTAGAAAAATCACACCCTCCTCTCCCAAAAGCCATAAAAAATCCCACATTGAACAGCTTACTGTAATTTAGAGGAAATTAAACCAATGCTAATTAGCACACTGGACTTTTCAAGTGATCACAACCACTGGAGTCTGAAAGGTACCACAAGAGCTTTAGGAATGGTCACCAGGAGCTTGCTGAACCAAGTGGGAGCAGCAAAGATACAAAGCTACTTGTTCAAAACCAGCCACAGCAACCAGAGGATGAAGGGTGGCAGCACTGGCTCATGTCTGTGAGAAGTTGAGGATTTAACAAGAACAGGTTGACAGAAAACTAGTGACAGGTTAGAGGAGACAGTAGATGAGTTTAAGGGCAGGGTAATACTAGCAAGGATCACAGTGGAGTGATAGGCAACAAATGAGGAAAACTATCTTTGCAGTTCCTCAAATGGATAAGGAACTGCATTTGTCAAGATCAAAGGAATTGACACTGCAATGCCCTTAAGAACACCAATTTCAACTGTGTACAGGGTGGGGGGGCACCATGACTTGAGATACTTAATCCAGGTCATCCACCAGTTGATCCCACAAGTGACAACCCTGTCTCACTCTTCCCCTCTACAAAATCTAAAATAAGCTCAGTTTTTCACTGGTTCGTGAAGTTGATCCTAATTATTATACACTCCCTAGATGATTAGGTTTGATGCGAAATAGGCAGCAGAAACATGCAGCTGGAAGCTGGATACACCGCAAGGTCAGGTTAAGAATATGAAGAAATTTCACACTTAGAGTTGGTACACAGAAAACCTTTGCAGAATGCAAAAGTAACAGAGGCAAAACAAGAGAGGGCCAATGCAAAAGTCCTCTGGAGCTTCACAGAAGACTAGCAGATGATTTTCAGTAGGCTTAAGAAGCCAGCTAGGAAACAGGAGAGAATACAGCACTAGGAGATAGGGAAGGACTAAATTTAAAGAAAGATACAGCTGACTGCAGTGGAGGTAATTCTTCATTCAGTGAAGAGCCTGATGAAAGCAATTTCAGTTGACTGGATGAGAAACATCTCCTTCATGGCTTTTAACTCCATACATTCATTGAATGCAGAGATAAAAGAAGTTACAAATTCAGAGAGCCAGCTATTCAGAACATCTCCCTTCCATTTCCACAGTGGGAAAAGCACCTACAAGATATGTAAAAATAACAGAACTGGCCAAGATTAAGAAATTACAGGCAAATATTTGGGAGAAGATGATAACGAGTACTTTTTACACTCTCAGAAATGGCACAGGACAAATTATATCAGGAAAGTATTCCTAGTGCAACCTGCTTAGGCAAAAGTAAAGGTTAAAGTTTCATGCTAAGTCACAAACACGAACCTGAACTGCAGCATGGAGCAAGACATATGAGTGATGATCTTCACAGATAAGGATTAAATGGTTCAAAGCTAGGAGAGAATACAGCACTAGGAGATAGGGAAGGACTAAATTTAAAGAAAGATACAGCTGACTGCAGTGGAGGTAATTCTTCATTCAGTGAAGAGCCTGATGAAAGCAATTTCAGTTGACTGGATGAGAAACATCTCCTTCATGGCTTTTAACTCCATACATTCATTGAATGCAGAGATAAAAGAAGTTACAAATTCAGAGAGCCAGCTATTCAGAACATCTCCCTTCCATTTCCACAGTGGGAAAAGCACCTACAAGATATGTAAAAATAACAGAACTGGCCAAGATTAAGAAATTACAGGCAAATATTTGGGAGAAGATGATAACGAGTACTTTTTACACTCTCAGAAATGGCACAGGACAAATTATATCAGGAAAGTATTCCTAGTGCAACCTGCTTAGGCAAAAGTAAAGGTTAAAGTTTCATGCTAAGTCACAAACACAAACCTGAACTGCAGCATGGAGCAAGACATATGAGTGATGATCTTCACAGATAAGGATTAAATGGTTCATGAACACTGAAGCCACAAAAGATGAATGAGATGTGATGTAAGAAAAGGAATCAAGTTGAAAACAAACAAACACAAAGGCTGAGGTAGAGGAGTTTGATAGTGACTGACAGTGCTATCGACTTGAAAGGTAAGGGGTACAGAGAGAAGACAAGATAGGCCTTTGTTTCACTTCCTTTTATTTGAAAGTAGAAAATAAATTTAAAAAGGAGAGCTAGTTGTATAGGCCGTATGTTATATGAAGGAATTGAGAAGTCAGAGACAGGTCATGGATAGATTTAGTTACCCTGCACTTGAAACTGATCTCTCTAGAGACTGCAAAAGGATGACAGCATGAAAAAAATGGGCAGGAGATAAAAAATGATGACTTTATTGAAGCAGTGGAAGCTGATGATTCTCAATAGGCAGCTAACACTTGCAGAAGAAGGGTGGCCTTTTTTGAGGTCCTAATTTAGAACAGACAGCAGGAGAGTGGGATGGAAAGAAGTAAAATAGGTAGTAGGGAGTGAATAGGCTAAAGATAACCAGGAAAGAAGTATGGAAACATATAGAAGGAGTGGAAGACAGCACATATTCTATGATGCAGAAGAAGTTCTGGTAGGAGCCCAATCATATGTAGCAGGGGGACAAAACCATAAAAATAAATGCAGGGGATAAAAACACTACAATACTCAGGTGACAAAATTGAATCCAAAACCACTGGGACACTGATTACAAGAGTAAGGGATGAGCAAGGTGTAGGTTCCTGACTAAGGTGCTCAAGCAAGCCAACTAAGACATCTCTCTGTTCTTGATGAATTTGGAAAAATCATGTTCCATGGCTACTTTAAGAAAAGTGATAGTGTTGATAACTCCATCTTTCTTCCTGGCAAAGATAAATGGCACCACCATGGAAGTACTGACTATTATATTGTAACTTCCTTCTTTGCTTTGCTGGGAAATGATAGTTTTCATACCAAAGTTTCTCTGAAAGAGTACTGTATTTTCAAATGCTTCAGTAAAACATTCAGTGTCATTCTTCAGCAGTATCTAGGATCAAGACCACCCTCTTTAGGCTTAATGCTGCACCAGACTGTGAAACAACTGCTAAGGAGTGTGTTAAGCACTGATAATTTTTAAGGTCCCCAAAAGCTCATGAACTCACAAGGACACTATAAAATTAGAACTTTTAACTCTATAAAATAAACATTATCATTACAGACATACCTACCCAGAAGCAAGACTTTCATAAATACTTACCCTTCCACAAGAGTTCTATTGGCCAAGCGTATGCAGTGCTCCCAAAGGATGTTGGAGACTGGCAATGGAATACGGACTCTCTTAGACACATCATTCAACCTCCTGTTAAATTCTTCAAATTCCTAATAGAACATAAAAGATGTTTATTCTTTAATGTAACAATGGATCATAGTCTATATATCCAACAACAGCAACAACTAATTAGAAATGCACATGAAAGAGTATACTGAGAAGTAAGAGCAAAGAAGAGAGGCTTAATAGGCACAAACTGTAGACAACTCAATGTGTAAAGTAGAAAACATATCACTTTCTAGTATATCACTCACAACATTACCTCAGTGATTTTTTTAAAGGAACTGTTGCTCTGTTCCCCAGAGCTGTAGTTCTCTGTGAAACTGACAGCTCTGAAAACGAACCAAGTAGCTTATTCTTCAAATGCTATTTCCATTGCCTCACCCCCTAAACTCATATTTAACTTCTTTAAGTCAAAATATAGCCACTGAAAAAAATCCAGTGATGATCTCTTTAGCCCTCTAAATACCTACCCCACCAGTTTTCAAAGAGAGGCTCAGAAACATTGTAACCACTTTTCATTCTTCAACCTTTCACATTAGGTAATTCCTCAGTGCTTTAGAAGGAGCTGAGAGAAGCCAAATCTAACAGTTTAGGACCACATTGCAGCACTAGATAACAATTCAGGTCAAAGGAACGCACCTATTTCCACATGAATCATCAATGGCCTGGATGGATTCCAGCTGATGCTTTGAGTGAGAAACTAGTCATAACTGAATGCAATTACTGCTACAATGATTTCTGTGACTTAAAAGTGAAACAGAAACCCTCTGCCAATGATTCAAGTATTTATCATATAAAAAGTATCAAATTACTTCAATATCAAGCAGAATGGTAATAAATTCCTCTGTATAACCAGCAAAAGTCATTTGCTGTGCAGTCTTTTAAGACCATACTTGCCCAACAGAGATTTTATTTCCAAGGCTGTTAACATAGGTTTTTTTTCTCTTTTCTTACAGACCCTCTCAAAAATTCAGTAAGTGAAGAAAGTCAGAAGAGAACTTCAGTAACTGGCATTTAACACAAATTTTCTGAAAGATGAATTTGGCAACAAGATGCAGGGTACCACAATGTCATGCTTTAACTGCCATACAACTCATTCTTCTAAAGATAAAGATGCCTAATGCTCTATAACCTATTTCTTCAACAATCTTCTTTCCCCACTTTATCTGCTTCCAACATACTGTGACTGAATATGGAACTTTGTGTATGTATGACTGAAAGTAGTTGATTATTACTTTCATCACTGCGCTCATATCTGATGTTCCTGGAGTCCCAGTGTACACAGAAAACTCATTGCTTATCAGTTATTTAAAAGCTTTTGTACCAACTAGTACTAGCTATAGAATAGAGAGACTAAAATTGGTTTTAAATGGTATTAGCTCTGATTGTCCTGAAGCAAATTCATCAGCAGCTGCATACTCACAGAAGAAAAAAGTTTCGCCCCAGAGATCAACTATTTTAAGCACAAACTGATATCAAAAATTCACAGTAACATAAACAAGAATAATCATAAAGATTCCATCAAATTCAGTGCAATGATCTATCCTCTGTCAAATTCTTCCTTCTTTGCCTTGATTTTTTTAGCAGAGAAGAGCTACAAAGTATGAAGGTGTTATCCAAACCGTTATTCCACACAGATGTGTAGCTTTTTCTGTGATTCACACTTCACACATCTTTAAAATAAAATTTTCAGTTTCTCTGAAAATAATTAGTTATTAATATAGTCTAATTAATTAGCATAATTCTACCACTGCCAGAAATTCCCTCTGAAGACCTTTAGAAACATTAATTAGGCATATATAAAAGGATGAGAAAGGGATTGTCCCAAGAACTAGTCCTGTATGCCATAAGACATGGCAATTGTATAATGACACCTACTGAATGCAATTGACAAGTTGGGTGAATAACTTCCCTTTAGCTTCTTTTTCAAATGTTAACTTCTAATATAGCAACTTCAATTAGATACTGCATGATCATTATTGGTGCTGATTTGACCTACAGTTCCTATGATACATCTCAAAGACAATCAGCAAAATTATTCAGAACAGCAGGTAGTGTGGTTTGGAGTTTTTTTAAATAATATCTCTGGCCACAGAATTTTCCTCAGTGTTACTCTATTTACTACACATTTCTCTACCAGTCAAGACTTAGACATGAGACTCATTAAACTTCTTCGGTCAATTTCATCACCATGTAGTCAAAAAATCATCACTGAAAATAATCCTTTAGAAGCAAGAATAATAACGCTTCTGGACAGATCTCAGGATCTTAGGATAGGAAATTACTATGAGAAATTTCCCATTACAAAAGGGAAATTACAATTTCCCATTTGTAAGGATAATGTCTTGTCCTAGCCATTCTACTTTAACAGTTTTAGCGAAGTATTACAGCAAATTCATTGTTTATATAAACTCTAACACACCATTTCCCATAAACTATTCACCTTTAAAAGAGCATCTACATATACGTTGTGCTGCGACATGATTTCCTTCACATCCCATTTCACATTAGCCATGAGAAGAAGCATTTGTTCATAATCAATGGCTTTAGCAGCAACAATCCAATAAACTGGTTTACGTAGTTCACTGGCAGTTGACACTGTCTGAAATAGAAAATAAATAAAATTCACTTCAGTAAATATCTATGATGTAGAAGTATTGTCACCATAATGTACAAGTTTCAAATCTTCTGTAGAAAATCAGCTGTGAATGCCACAATTCTGACCTGAGAATAGAACTGCTGAAGAAAAGGCTTCTTGGCAGCTGGCATCACTGCATCAAGATGAGGCTGAAGAAATTCAAACTGCTCAGCCAGAAATACCCTTTGAAAGCAAAGAAAATTTACTGTGAACTAAGTGTAACATTTGGCATGTCTCTTTACAATTTTTACTCTACAGCTGACATATCTGGCAATAACAATATGCAACCTTGGAAAATTTAGTCCTGAGAAGAACTGTATCAGTTGTGTGCCAGCATATCAACTAGCAGTCTCAATTCTGACAATTTTAAAATGTATTTGCAAATAAGAAAATATTTAAATAAAGAGACTAAGACTTGAATATCAAAAATTCATATTTCTATTTTTCTGAGGATACACTGCACAAGTCTGGGCCAGGGTCTAGTAAAGTCAGTGACCAAGAGTCACATCATTTACACTGCAGGACAGTCAACATCAATATTAATAAATCCATCTTAGAATTTCAAAATAACATTCCCAATTAATGTTATGCTAGTGATTCTCTAAAACTGAACTTGATCTCATGTTCCTCCTCAGGGGTAGAATTTGTTAATAACTACATTACAAGGAAATATATTTCTAACTAAGCATAAATGATTTTTTTTTTTAAATTAACTCCTAATCTTGAAGTGTCATCCTTGTGAGGAAAAAATAATTCCTAGCTGACTCTTACTATTATTTTTCTCAAATAAAAATAATTTTGCTACAGTTGCATTAATTCATTATTATGTCCTCTTCTCCTGTGGTATGATACAGATACTCTTCTATCCATTGCAAAGAACATGGTGATTCAAGCCAAACTGATATGAACTAAGGAGTTCTGAGGCAAGTATTTAATATAAGGTGAAAATGAACCATACAGATTAAATATTCCCACTAGCCTCTTTGAAATTAAACTTTTTTTCCTAATAGATTTGGTCATGTATTGTCAGAAATTACTGGATCATCTGCAGTAAAATTTCATTTCTTGTGTTTACATGTTGCTAGACCAAAGAATTAGACTCCAGTACCTTCAAGAAAGAAACCACCTTTATCACTCATATTTAAAATCACATTGAGAGGTAGGAATTTTTAACCCGTCAAGAAGGCTTTGGATTATAACCACAATTTCTTAAAGAATCAATAGCTTTCAGTGATCACAAATACAGTGTGTACAGTAAACAACCTACAAGGATTCTGTGGCCACCACTCTCTCTGCCAAGCCATACAGCGAATTGCCAGATGTCAAAACTACGAGATGACTGAGATGTGGGCTTGGAACCTTCTCTTTTCTCTCTTCAGCAGCTGTGAGAGTTCCTGAAGGATCAGCAGACACCTCCTGAAACAAAGAATTAAACAAATTAAACTCCACAAAACCAGCAAGGACGGCTCCAGCTGAACAGTTTCAGATGCCAGACAAGATGAAAGAATGTTTCAAACTCTAGGGTGTAATTCAAATCAAGCTTATTTCTATTTAAACAGTATAGTGAAATGGGTGAAAAAAATCAGATCATGTAAATCAGTAGCCAAGGGAAAATAAGTTAAAACAACAAGGCAGCAAACAATCTTCTCACTACACAACACTCAAACAAGCTTTAGCCCAAATGCCTTTTGGGAGACTGACTTCTCATCCTTGGAGACAGTATATCTTCAATCTGACAGCAATCAAATAAAGAGACATATCAAAGAAATGTTACTTCTGCATGGGCTTTACTACTTATACGAGCAGTGACTAACTTAGGTAAAAAACAACTGATGTTCTCAATCACAGAATCACTGGATTGGAAGAAACCTTTAAGATCATCAAGTCCGACTCATGCACTAACACTTCAACTAATCCATTCCATGAAAACTTCTACCCTGAAGACATCTTGATGCTAGAAAGCAAGACAATATTCACAGCAAAGGAGTAGAATCTGTAGCGAGAAACAGGTTATACCACTGCCTTGTTCCAAAATTAAAGGGAAAAAAAGAGGAAAAATTCTACCCCCACATTTAAGGAATCTAACTACAGGGTACAGTTAGAAGAGGAACCATAGAAGGAAGAAATTCCCAGAGCAGGTGTACAAAGAGACACCCTCTGAAGCCTGGCTATTTCCCAGTCTTCAGAGGGTTTCAGGGCATGAAAACATAAAGGTAGTTCTGCTTGGCTTGAATTAATTATTCATACCATGCTTATACACAAGAAGATGAGAAATGCTACAAAGGAAAGGCACAGCACCCAGAACAGGTAAGAAGACAGGAAGGATATGGAACTGATTTTAATAAGAGCCTTTCAAGACCCTGGGGATAGAAACCCTGGCCATGGTCTACAGTCTATGGATGCTACAACATATCAGCCTGTAAGTATGGAATGAAAACAAATAACAGTAACAGCAACAAAGTAGTGGAAAAAATAACTTTTACGAAAGCAAAATCAGTGGTCCAACATGGCCGCTGTAAACAGCATAGGAGCAACCAATCATTATGACAATAATAATGCTTAAACATAACATTTATGTTTGGACTCAAAAAAACAAATTAATGTAATACTGAAATGGTGGTTAAACAAGGGAAAAAGATAAAGACAAAAACAACATAATGAAAAAAAGCAGCTTTCAAGTTTGTGAATTGTTTGTTTGTTTCAACTAGAGAAAGAAATAAAACCAGAAGAAATTGCAGTGAAGTAACTATGGACAGAGGGAGAAAAACAGACTCAAGGTAACCACAACAATAGCCATGAATTTCTTCTGGGCTCCACAACACAGAACAAATGTGAGAAGCGACCTGAAATAGAAAGCCTTTATTCAAAAAGGTTTCGTTCAGACACTTCTGCTTAAGGAGAAGAGGAAAGCAGTGAGCACCTGAAACAATTGTGGAAATTAGTAGTAGTGTCACTTATTCTATATGTCAGGATTGAGACAAAGAGGAGTATTTCATTGCAGACCTTGAAACACCAAGAGAAGAAGTACTGCAGATAGCTGAAAACTGGAAAATCAACAGGGCAGTTATTCTGATAGCAAAATATCTGACAGACCTGTTGAGGTAGTGTTGCAGCAATTAAAGGTAGGGCAGGTGAAAATTGATTATGTCAAAATGTGTAAGGACCTGGTGAGAATTTAAGTGATACAGGATGAGCAGAAAGATCAAAACTTTGCTGCTATAGACAAAGCAGCACCAGAATGTGTTTACTGTTTGGATGAATGCCAAACCAAAAGTGACATTAAGAATATAAGACAACTGAGAAGATAATAGCAGCCAAGCTGTTAAAAGTGGTTTGAGGTGTGGAGGAACAAAAATTCACAAGTTCCACTTTAACTCTCTGAGATTTTATTTGGCAGTTTCCTCCTGTGGTGTGACGGCCCAAGGCAATAGGAGGTGGATTTGTTAAATCAGAAAGACTCTTTCAGTTCTGCATCTCCAGAGATGTCAAACACAAAATAAAAATGGCCTACAGCAGATGGAACAATGCACAGTCTGGGAAAGCAGAGTTCTCACTAACAAGGATGAGGAAGTACCTTCAGACTTATTAAAAAAATATTGTAATTAGGTTACAGATGTAAAAAGCCAATAAAGCAGGGAACCTTGATGGTTCCCCACAGAAATTCTGACACTAAAAACAAGGACTGCTGAATCATTTGTAGCACTAAAAGATCTCACAGAAATACATCAATGAGCAGAAGATAAAACTTCTAAAAGAAGCTTATGGCAAATGTGATCAGATATACCTGCACTGAGCACAGGAACAATTATAAAGGCTAGCTAAAATGTTATGTCAGAATGTGTTTACTGTTTGGATGAATGCCAAACCAAAAGTGACATTAAGAATATAAGACAACTGAGAAGATAATAGCAGCCAAGCTGTTAAAAGTGGTTTGAGGTGTGGAGGAACAAAAATTCACAAGTTCCACTTTAACTCTCTGAGATTTTATTTGGCAGTTTCCTCCTGTGGTGTGACGGCCCAAGGCAATAGGAGGTGGATTTGTTAAATCAGAAAGACTCTTTCAGTTCTGCATCTCCAGAGACGTCAAACAGAAACATAAAAATGGGCTACAGCAGATGGAACAATGCACAGTTTGGGAAGGCAGAGTTCTCACTAACAAGGATGAGGAAGTACCTTCAGACTTATTAAAAAAATATTGTAATTAGGTTACAGATGTAAAAAGCCAATAAAGCAGGGAACCTTGATGGTTCCCCACAGAAATTCTGACACTAAAAACAAGGACTGCTGAATCATTTGTAGCACTAAAAGATCTCACAGAAATACATCAATGAGCAGAAGATAAAACTTCTAAAAGAAGCTTATGGCAAATGTGATCAGATATACCTGCACTGAGCACAGGAACAATTATAAAGGCTAGCTAAAATGTTATGTTATTTGAAAAATTAATTTTCATTGCTCTGATCTGTGTTCACACTCAGCCAGATAAATCTGGAATGAAACTGACTAGATGCTTCACAATACTATGAAGTTTGCATTCTGTTGAGGTTATCAGAATGGATAAGCAAGCCAAAGGACCTGGATATTTACTAAAGATCCTGTGACCTCTTTCAGAGAGCTCTAAAGGTACTTCCTGAGCACATCCACATGGTCACTGCAGATAGGCAATGACATCTAACCATCTAGCCACAACAATCAATTCTCTAAAAACATTAACTAAGGCAAAGACAATAATGATTAATTACTAAAATTCTCTCTTTATCTGTCCACTCTTTTTTCACTTCATTCCATTCTCAAAAACTCAACTAAAAAAAAAAAAAAACCAAAAAACAAACAAAACAAAAAACCCAACCAATCAAAAATTAGAAAAAAAATTTTGAAATGTTTACACATGACAAAAGTAGCCAAACCCACAGCTCATCAAGCAATGCTGTATCCTTGGCAGTGCTGGGGAAAGAGTATCAGTAGTAAACATTTACGAAGCTTTCTTTCTTTCTTTCTTTCAAAGACTAATTACAAATTATGTAAAAACCAAGTATTATGGAGACTTCATTTTCCATTTATCTCACTTCAAAGTTGTCTGCCACTTCAAACACATTTTAAACATTTTTTTCTTCTGTTTTGCTTCCCATGAAGGTAAATAACATCTTTTAAATGCCAAAATTTGTCTTGCATCTGAAGAATACAAAATGTACGTGAGAACTGGCTAAGTCCAAGACATGCTACCTTCAACTCGGGAGTCAAACTCTGGTTCACATATCATGGCCAAACAGCATGAGCATTTCATTCTCCCAATTTGTTCTAAAAAGCAGGCACTGCAAAAGCATGTTGATAGCAAAAGGCAAACAGCCAGTGTGCCAATACCCCAAAGAAGCACAGGATCACTCTAAAAGGCCCTCAGTGATGCATGTGTTTTTTCCTCCTGCCTTCATTAACAGAAATGATCCAATGACTGAAAGAGGAAAATAAAGGGGCAAAACACACAGGCTGGAACAGGAAAAAAAGGCTACAGACTATTTAAAGAAATCAGATGTTTTTCAGTGTACTGGACTTGTTAAAGTTAACCCTTCCAGTAACAAAGAAAATCTGCAAGAAAATGTCTGTTGCCAGAGATTCTCTTTGTGTACCATAGCAAACAAGCAGAGACCTGTAAAACTGCCAGCCTCAAGAGGAAGAGGAGAGGAGCAGAAGCTAGAAAATTAAATAGCAGCCAGTCGAACTTTAATTTCAAAAAATGTCAAGTTACACTGAGAACATCTTGTAGCACCCAGCATTAAGCATGCAGAGAGCAATACTAAAGCAGAATAAACTTGCTTAGCTCCTCCCTGCATCAGAGTAGCAGGTCTTGCTGATCCAACAGAACTGGGATATGTCAAAGACCGATCACAGCCCACACAACATCCGTGTAAGAAAACTGCACAAAATAGACAAAATAATTTCAAGGTATACATGTACGGAATGGAATGGTATGGAATGGAATGGTATACATGGAACTGGTGCAAACTACAAGATGCTCTTCTCCTTCCTTGCCAAAAAAGAAAAAAACCCAAGGTGTTAAAAAAAAATTTAAAAGAATATTAAAAGCATCAGACTGATCTGAACAATAACCACAGCAGGACAGGTTAACCAGTATTGCCTGCAGACACCTTACAGTAGGTCTTACCTATTAAATTTTCTCTAGTTTAATTTCCTCATACTGTCAAAGGAAAAGAACTGCACGTTCTAATGCTATGCATGAAAGGCATACCCAACTAGCAATTATTTTTAAAAGCTGCTTTGCTACAAAGACCTGAAAATATCAGGATGAAGTGTTAAAGCAGGCTTATGGCTGCTTTGCCTATTTAAGGGTTGCTAATAACAGTAGTATGAACTACAGTGTATGCTTTGGGAAGTATCTTTGCAAGATACCTACAGTTGAG